AGACTGCTCACGCGAACAATAGACGATCGGGATCTTGGTTCAGGTCCAGTTGCTTTGCTGGCGTATAGTCTTGCGCTGTCTTGTTCAGGTGTCCATTGGCGCCATTCGTGGTTCCGTTCTGTGCTGCTGCTGAACATATTATCAGCCCCACACGTACTTGAAAGCTTAGTCTCCGCATAACCTTACCTGTCTTTTGTCTCTTTCGCGGCGTCATGATTGTTTGGAGGGATACAATAGAACGCAGGTTTGAAGATACGGAGGTGTGCGAGTTGGATACCTGTACTATGATGCCCCGCAACATGGACCTGGGGTCCAATTGCAGATCAGATATGCGCATAACAAGCGTGGATTGCGTGATATGCAGCCATCTGAACGCGGGATTTGTGGGATTGCCGTAGATTAGACCCGGTACGCAGACTAGATGGTGTTCACCTTGATTGTAGCTGGCTGGCCGCTAATCTTGCCTAAGCTAGCTGGTCAACTTCTATATCGCAGCTTAACATTTCGGCTACGCGCATGACAAGCTGTGGTGCATGATCTTGAGACATCTTCACAAGTCCGGCATCCTCAATTGGTTGCTTACAAGGTTCGGCCCATTGGTCGATGTGGCAATCCAACCCTCCGAAGACGTGATGTGCCGTAACTTGCAGGCATCGCATACCCCACACCAAGATCGACCAGGGTAGCGAGCTTCGACTACAACACTGTGGTATTTTCCAGACACGACCATGTGAACGCCACTGAGCACTGAAAGTAACGCCGAAGCACGTAATCTACTATCGCATGATCGCAATGGCAACGTACCGACACCGCCGTCGTCCCGCGTCGATATGGTCTCTCTCAATATGGGAGCTTATGACGATTCAGTACAAAAGCCTGTGGATCAAAGCCAGTCGTTTGTATGAAGGATTCCTTGCGTGCAGACAATCATGTCCAAATTCTCAACGACCGAATTGAACAGCAAAAGCAGCGCTGGCACGACCGATGTCGAAAAGCAACTCACCCATGAGTCTCCAACCGTGCCAATCACAGCTCCAAAGACCTTGGGTGCTGGAGTTAGTTATGCTTCCAGTACGTCTTACCCAGGTGCTAACGTGTCAAGACGGCGCTTCCAATCGGAGTTTTTGCGACAACTTTGACCACGCTGTCGCTCAGTCTGATGGAATGGCGAGGAGTGACCACAAACAATGTCTTCGTCGCCAACTTCTTCTTTGCGGCGGCATTCGGCAAGTTACCGGAATGTACGATGTGTGTGTGCTTTGGCTGACTGGATACTAGGCCTGGTAGTCACTGCACAGTGGGAGCTGTCCGTCGGTAATGGTTTCGCGTATACTGTCTTCAGCGCTTTTGGTCTGTTCTACGCCGGCTTTGGTGCGATTTTGACCCCTGCCTTCGGAGTTGAGGCAGCATATGGAGGCGATCTGAAGCAATACAATAACGCTCTCGGGTTCTTCATGATCAGTGAGTTGCTCAGGACCGACAGGTGGTGAAAGCGCTACTAATCGTGTGACAGTGTGGACGGTCTTCGCCTTGGTGTTCCTCGTGGCCTCGTTGCCGACAAACCTGGTCTACATCATCATCTTCTTTTGTGTCGAGCTGGGATTCTTGCTAGTGTCGGCGTCTTATTTTGCCACGGCAGATGGACACCCGACCTCGTCCGTCGCGCTCAAGAAAGGCGGTGGTGCGTTCTGTTTCTTGGCTGGATTGACCGGGTGGTATCTGACGTTCGCGTTGCTGCTCAAAGACTCCATCGTTGAGCTACCACTCGGCGACACTTCCCGGTTCTTCGCGAAGAGAAAGGCGGAATAATCTACAGGCAACACAAGGCTCGCATGCTGGTCACGGAAGGTGTCTCGGAGGTGCGCAGTCTGCTGGACATTGTGATGGGCCGTGAAAGTGCGGAGTTGGGGATGATGCGATTGAGGGGTTAGATGGCGAACGCGGTTCGCGTTTGGACGTGCGCACTGGTTGCAGACTAGTCTCGTTCTGGGTTAGCTCAAATGCGATGATGCAGGTGCGGTCCGCCGACGCGTCTCACTCTCCAACTTTCACGTTCACATGCTGTACCGACACTGCTTTACGAAATCTACGCCCCCACGGTATCTCACTATCGCTAGCTTTACTCGCCTGCCAACAACGAACTCAACACTCACCATGTCGGCGATATATCCCTGTCTCCCCGGTGGTTCTCATCGCCATCGTAAACCTACTCAGGTGTTCATGCGCACCAATGCGAATGGCTCAAGAATGAACAAATAGCACGCAATACTCTGCGTGATTCTCATCATTCCGAGGGATGTTCTGCGGGGTTTAAATATAAGATCGTGATCGAGATCTCGAGATGTCATCATTCTATCCATCTACACGATGGCCATGACGAATGGTACTAACAGCGAGTCCGGAAATGCGCAGCAAGTCGACTTCAGAGACCCGGCTGTCTATGCTGGGTATGAGACGAAGTGGTCTTCTATTCCGGAAGACGAAGCAGGCTGGCTCCAGCGTGCTCAAGATGTAGCCGATGTTCTCGCCGTTGATGCCGTCGTGCGAGATCAAGAGAACAAGTCTCCACGTGCGGAAGTTGCACTACTGAAGCACTCTGGATTGCTGAAGCTCCTTGGTCCGAAGCAGTATGGTGGCGGTGGTCAGCCTTGGAGTGTGGGCTACAAGGCGATTCGGAAGGTCGCCGAAGCAGACGGGTAAGGTCTTCCCCTCCCCGTACGCATATGTATACTAACTGTCCTAGGTCAATCGGCATGCTCCTCGGCTACCACCTCCTCTGGTCAACCACAGCAAACATCGTCGGCTCACCCGAACAAGCCGATCGCTTCCAGAAGCTCATAATCTCGAACAACTACTTCATCGGCGGCGCCGTCAATCCCCGCGACAGCGACCTATCCATCAAGTCCGACGGCGACAACCTCGTCTTCAACGGCTTCAAGTTCTTCAACACAGGCGGTGTTGTCTCCGATCTCACCGTCCTCGAAGGCGTATACGAAGGCACCGGGAACCACATCTTCGCCTTTGCCAAGACGGATCAACCCGGTATCCAATTTGGACATGATTGGAATAACATTGGTTTGCGCTTGACGGAGTCGGGCAGTGTGAAGATCTCCGATGTGAGCGTACCTTGGGAGGATGCGCTGGGCTGGAACATCGAGAAGAAAGAACCAGATCCCCGCGCGCTGCAGATACCGTTCGCGACGCTGCTTCTGCCAACCATTCAGCTCGTCTTCAGCAACTTCTACCTCGGTATCGCACTGGGCGCACAGCAATATGCAGCAAAATATACAGTAAAGGGGACCCGGGCATGGCCATTCGGTGGCGACGTAAGCACACCCACATACTCCGAACCAGTACATATCGCTGACGCATGATCAGAACAAAGAGAAAGCCACCGACGAATTTTACATCCTCGAACGCTACGGCAACTTCCATGCCCACCTCCGCGCCGCATCCGCCCTGGCAGACCGCGCAGGCCAGGAAGTCGATGCCATCCTAAACACATACGCACGCGATCTGGATACCCGCGGGAAGCTGACTGCGCGTGAGCGGGGTGAGCTGGCAGAATGGGTCGCAAGCGTCAAGGTCGTTACAACAGACACCAGCCTGCGCGTCACATCTGGGGTGTTTGAGGTTACAGGCGCGAAAGCGACGAGTGCAAGAGTGGGCTTGGATCGGTTCTGGAGGGACGTTAGGACGCATACGTTGCATGATCCAGTGGCGTATAAAAATCGCGAGTTGGGGAGGTTTGAATTGCTGGATGAGATTCCTGAGGCTACTTGGTATACTTGATTGCGTTATCCGAGCTCAATATGACATGTTCTTTGGGAAGTCTCGGTGCTCGTGTACATGCTGAAGCCATAAATTGATAGCCCGCGAGCTAGCAAAGACCGCTCAGTAATACACGGACCCTTCTTTCGGCGACGTGACAACCCCAGACGACAGCGCACAATGTTTATAGCCCTTCACTACCTCATGCTCCACAGCTCCCCATTGTAGCTTTGCTAGATGCGGGTCGAGCTCGCTGGGTGAAACATGACAGGCTGCACTTAAAGCAAGACTGCATGAGCCTACAACAGGTAGTTGCATTTGCATCTTCCGAACCCCCATAAATACCACACCAGCTAGCAGCAAAGAGAAAGCAGACAGTAGTACGATCAAGCTCAAGTACGAAAACCCGCAGGCCGATATAGAAGAGGTTCGAGCTGTTTCGTCGCGGTCCCAAGAGTCAACGCGAAGGAGAAAGATGGTTTGCGAGAGGATCCAATGTAGCGACCCGCTGATGACCATGAGTGGAAGACTCCATCTGTAAGGCAGTTGTAGGAAGTAAGTACTTCGCTGCTGACCATATGGTTGCGTGACTCTGAGGCCTTTTCTGTGTGTTGCGAGGCGGTTCCATTCCTCGGCACCAGCTATGGATGTGCACACCAAGTTGACGGTGAAGTAGCAGAAAGAAAGTATGATTTGTGGCGCGTTGGCAAGCCAAGCGTTCCACAGGGTAGCTCTGGGGGTTCCGCTGTTTGAACTGAATATGAAGTCATCCGAAGCAGTTCCCCAACCCCAGGTTTGGCCGAAGGGCCACTGGAGTGGACTCACTGCGATACCAAGTATGGTTAAAAGAGACCTGGATGATTAGTGAAGATTGGCAGGCCCCGCCGAGATGACTTACAAACATGCCAACATGAATTTACTTCCTTGGTGGACTGGGAAGAAGTATCGTACTAGAGATGGACGCCAAATGCCATCCAAACGCATGCGAAGCTCTTACGTATCTTCATTATCGGAGCTGCCATGACTTGGGGAGTGGCCCATACTGATCAAGATCTCTTCTCGACCCAATGTACACCTCCCAACTGTAGGTGGATCCGGACGCTTTAGAAACGACGCTGCGGCATCTCCCAGAGTGACTAGGTAGGCCGATCGATCGGTAAATAAGACGACCGCCATTACCGTGAGCTTGAGTAGACCGAAAACGACCACTACAATGAGGAAATAGAGGCTCACTTGTACACTACTAGATAGAGTTAATTTTTCAGAAGCTGCATGAGCTACGTGGGCGGAGACGTTTGTGCCTAAAGTCTGATTGTTGGGTGTCGAGTCGAATCGTATCCATGCAGACGAATCTTTAATGAGGTCCCTGACTATGTCTTGGCCTCCAGTAACATTCAGAGTCAGAGAATGTGACAGCGCTCCAGTTAGGTTTAGGTTCAAGTTGGAAAGATCCTGCGTAGTATCGAATGCTACACGATCCACTCCTAGGTAAAGATCGCCATATGTAGAGGAGTACTTGGTGTCGTAGACGTCGTTCCATCGGCCGTTTGACACGTTCCAGTATTTCTCTGAACCGTTGGTACCAACATCTGTAGTGGCTTTGATATGCATCCATTCGTTTGACATGACGTCTAGAGTGAAGATCTTGTACTCCCGGGTGGTAACAACTTTGAAGACTGCAGCGTTGTAACTGATTGTCGTCAGCTAGAGCCACTAGGAACATCTTGCTCTGTACTTACAATAGATGTAAGGGAATAGATGATAGCGCCATCGCGTACCAGAGCATTGCACGCTTACGAGGGATTGCTCTCAAATTGCGAGGGCTTAGTATGCCGATATCAAGCCATTGCCCCTTGGCGTGCGCTGCATCGACGTCCTCTCGAGTTGGGGAACCCAGAACCTGCATCGTATAGTTGGACGTGGACAAAAGTACAGTGCTGAATGTGTTGATCAACACGTGCAAGCCGGTGTTCCATCGCGTAATGGATGCTTCGTCGCCGTTCTTGAGTTCAGCTACTCCCGATATATTGTAACCGTCGCCACTTCTGGCGCCCACGACGATCATGGCGATATTACAACAGAGGACGAAAGATGACATGCAGCAACCAAACAAAACACCCATCCGCCACCCATGGAAGCGACTACCCCGGACCCATCGATTGATTGTATCGAGGTCGCTCGAAAGCTTGTTCGGTGGACGTGGCGGCGAAAGCGAAGAGGTCTGCTTTGGGCTGATGCGGGCAAGCTCGAGATCGACAGTTATATTGTCATATGTATCGCTTAATACATCAGCTTCGGACGCATGTAAGGGGGTAGAAAGCTATACCTAGAAGAAATAATAGATCTAGACATATACTGATCATGGTTGGATCCAAGATATTCGCTTTCCCTGTATTCGAGTGATGGGGGCGAAACTGTGCGCGTACGGTGCTGTAGCATAGAGGGTGGAAGGGTGTCTCCGAAGCGCTCATCGTCTACAGGCAAAGGCGGTAGCAGAGGTACCTGCGAAGAGTTTCGGGGGTCATCATCCATTTGCACTTTAGCGGAGTTTCATATGATCTGACAATAACAAGTAGGCTGACGGGACTGAGAAGCTTGCGTGGGGCGGATATGCGTCTTATGGAACTGCTGTACCGCGACGAGGCTGACGCCCCAATAGTAGTGGCGGTCTTGGAAATGGCCCCCAATGTGGTTGCACGACCGTATTGGAACCATCTTATTGGTAGTCGTTTATGGAACATGCATCTGCGGCGTGTGCGGCTGAGGCTATGCGGATAGACATCTGGAAAGACGACAGATCAGCGTGCCTTACTTCACAAGACTACGCGCATTGTCGCGAAGGTCCGTCATTGCGAGTGCGAGCCGTTCACGGTGGTCTGAGGTTTATCGGGCGGGGTGGAAGAAGCTGGAAGTCGCGAGTGCATCGTGACACGGGCACGTGAAACGAAGTTCCGCGGCAGGAGTGACCTCATAATGTCAGCACAGCCCTAGTGCATCTCACGCAGCTTCATCCTTCCACCTACACCAACGCGCACCTTAACCTCCGCTTTCGCATCGCACGCAGCCAACCTTCGCGACAAATCCATCACGATGGGTGCACCCAAATACCAGAACGTGCCACAGCGCGACTCACTCGACGAGGCGGCGCCCGCGCCGTCATATTCGCAGGCGCCACCTAGCTACCAGGCGGCCAACGACCCCCAAGAAGCCCTCCTCAGCGGCGTCCCCCGCGGCGAAAACGACAACCTGCCCGATGACTTCAAGTTTGGCGGTGTTGTGGCAGAGGCGACGCTGGATATCCGGATGGCCTTTATCCGCAAGGTCTACGCCATCTTGTAAGTATCCACGCCTCAAAAACATATGTCGCACGCACTAATGCCATACAGAACCGTCCAACTCCTCGCAACCGCCGCCGTCAGCGCCCTCTCGATGATGTCGGAATCGTACAAGAACTTCATCCAGCAAACGCCCGCGCTCATGTGGGTGTCGCTCATCGGCTCCTTCGTCTTCCTCGGCCTCACTTTCTGGAAGCGCAAGTCGTACCCGACCAACCTCCTCTTCCTCGCCGGTTTCACCGCCATGGAAGCATACTCCATCTCGGTCATCGTCTCCTTCACCGATTCCAGGATTGTGCTGCAGGCGCTCTTCTTCACACTGGGCATATTCATTGCGCTGAGCCTATTCGCCTGCCAGAGCAAGTACGACTTCACGCACTGGGCACCGTACCTTTTCGGCGCGCTGTGGGTCGTGGTGCTGTTCGGCTTCATGTCCATGTTCTTCCCGCACAGTAGCTCGGTTGAGCTAGGATACGGCGTTGTCTGCGCGCTCATCTTCTCTGGCTACATCCTGGTGGACACGCAGATGATCATGCGCCACTACCACGTCGAGGAGGAGATTGCCGCGTCCATTTCCCTTTACCTTGACATCATCAACCTGTTCCTCGCTATCCTGAGGATCCTCAACTCGCAGAACAACAACTAGGCGGAGAAGTAGCAGGGGCTTAGATTCACTTGGGAGAAATTGTACGGCGTTATGGGTATTGATATCACTATGCTGGGAGTGTGTGGATCAAGGAGCTGGGTATTGATTATCGTACTCTATGTTACTTAGCTTTAGTTGTATAATACCACTTTCACACTTCTCTTCGCACCCAAAGCAATTTTCGGAGAATCGGTGTTTGTATGCTGAAGCCAATTCTTACGTCTCATGATGGAATAGAGGCGACCATTCTATCGCATGTCGCATCCAATAGCTATGCATGCATATCAGGTCATGGCGGGGTAGCACTATGGGGCTGCAGGGAGCGTGGGCGCGTTGATAGGTCGGGAGGGTGAAACGCCCGGACCCTTGATTTTCGGAGCACCAAGCTTCGTCGGCGGATGTCTTGGCAAACCGACCCTCGCAGGAACTCGACGATAACGGTGCAGGGCCCGTGTTAGGGGCAGAAGGGGACGAGACTGAGCTCTCATATAGGCTTGCCACCTCCTTTCGCGCGATGCAACACTGCCAGTCTTTGTTCGCGTTACACCCCTAGGCGCATGCTGCAGTCGGGTTAGGCGAGGCCCCATTTTTGAAGTGGGCAGATTCGTAGCGCGCTCCAGACACAGCTCTTGCTACAGCGAATACTGCTAGCTCCCGCGACACCTGTCCAGAAATACAGGGAGAGCAATTGGACACGCCTGTGCCATCCTTCACCCAGACTCCAAGCTGGCACGCAGGCAAAGGTGCAATTCGCGTGGCCCGCTCAGGAGATTGTTGATCCGCGCTTGCCCCATCCATCTCTAAACCCTGAATATCTTTGCTTGGGACCACCACACCGCTCCCTCGACTCTGCTCTGCCCGGGCGCATCGTGCTCTCCCCCGCCGAAACCTCGCCTACGCATCGACGACAGTCAGCGCCCATTCTTTTTGCCGTTTCGCTGCTCAATGGCTGTTGGTTGCTGAGACACGCACCCCAATCCGTTCGCTAAGACGTGACTGTTGAGCGACAATCACATCGACTCATTGAGCCCACACGCCGCACTACACGCCGGCAACCGACACCGGAAACCGTCGCCGGGCTGCAAGCACTCTCTGGAATTCATTCCTCTGCCATTGGCTCTTCTATCGGACCGCCTCGAGACAGCGGGTATCGCTCCATCACTCTCTCGCTCCCCACATTGGGGCATATTGCAACCAGCCACCATGGCGACGACACACAACGCCAACGGCGCGCTGGGAAAGACGCACACGGCCGACATGCAAGCGCAGAAGCTACCGACTGCGCCCAAGAGGCGGAAGATGCAGACAAAGAAGGTCGAGGATGAGGGGCTCATGGCCTCTCTGTGCACCCTCATCTGCGATCACCAGATTGGTATGCTCTCGCAGGAACTCAACAATGTTGAGCATCACCAAGACTGACTCCCACAGGCATCTCCGTCAACCTCCTCACCCTCCTCGTCCTCACGCACACATTCTTCCCCCGCGCCCGCAGCCGGACCAACAAGTTCTTCCACATGTCGTATTACAACCCTGACACCAACATGTACGGCTGTGGCACCGACGATCTGCCCTTTGTCCTACTGTGGACCGTCATCTTCACTGGTGTACGCGTTGCAGTCATGGAATACCTGCTCGACCCGCTAGCAAGGCTGGGTGGCATCAGGACAAAGAAGGGCCTGGACAGGTTCAAGGAGCAGGCCTGGTTGATTGTCTACTACACCGCGTCGTGGTCCTTGGGAATGGTACGTCACGCAACACACAACATATGGAATGGCAATGCTAACGAGGCTACAGTATATCATGTACCACTCCGAGTTCTGGCTAGACCTGCATGGCATCTGGGAAGGCTGGCCTTTCCGTGAGGCAGACGGCCTTTTCAAGTGGTACTACCTCGTCCAATGGGGCTTCTGGGTCCAGCAGCTTCTTGTCGTCAACATTGAGGAGAAGCGCAAGGACTACGCGCAGATGTTCACCCACCACATCTTCACCACCGCGCTGATGTGCTTGTCATACGGGTACTTCCACATGCGCGTCGGAATCGTCATTCTGACCATCATGGACTTCGTCGACATCATCCTGCCGGTAAGCAGTCCGAAATCACTAGTTGAGCATGAGAACTGACAAACACAGACTGCAAAGCTCCTCAAGTACATGGGCTACTCGAATGCTTGCGACTACGCGTTCGGTCTCTTCGTCATCGCCTGGGTCGTCACCCGCCACGTTCTCTACATGATGGTCTGCTGGTCCATCTACGCCTACGCCCCCGTCGACATGGCACCCGGCTGCTACCTCGCCGACTCCACCTCGAAGTACACCTCCTTCGTCCCCGCATCCAACACCTCACAATTCGAAGCATACGGCGGTAACAACCACTGGGGCAACCTGCTCAAGGCGTACAACGACCGCAACGGACCCATTTGCTGGAACCCGCAAATTCGGTACTACTTCCTCGCGCTCCTCCTCACCCTCCAAGTCTTCTGCTGCATCTGGTTCGCTACCATTGCGAAGATCGTTTACAAAGTGCTCATGGGCAACGCAGCGGAGGATCTGCGCTCAGATGACGAGGGCGAGGACGAGGAGGTCGAGCAGGAACAGACCAAGACCATCTTCAACATGGCGACTACCTGCGGCGAGAGCGGAATGAGCTCCATGACGCCAAAGGAGGAGGAAGTCGGCGTCGATGCCCTCACCTTTGCGCGTCTCAACGGCGCCAGCCAGCGCCGTCAAGCAAAGAGGGAAAGCTCGCGCGCAAGTGGGATTAGTATTCCCGGTCATGGCGATCGCAAGGAGCTACTCGGTCGCATTGGATGTGATAAGCCTTCGTAGGCTTTTTGTGGTCATCACCACAGTGGTCATTGCATGTTTTCCGAGTGCGTCACGAAAAGTCTCGCGGGCGTCTGTGGCGTCATAGACTATATAGTCTTGGGTTCATTTCTTCCAAAGTTTTTGGAAAGGGTGTATAGGTTTCGAGGGAATATACCACCATTTGGCTTGGTGAGATGTGTGGTTCCGTCTTGCGGTTGATGATCATATGTATACCCCCAGAAATCGAGGTTAGATTGTTTTCTTGAACTCATGCGATAGAGTATATGTGCTCTTTCGCGGCCGCTTTCCTCAAATGAAGATGCAGGAGCGTACTTGCATGAATGACTCTTTCTCATACATCTCTTCTCGGACCACAGACTACACGGTCCTACTATTGAGTAGCTAGATCACAACTACAGCCTTCCCCTCCAAGGACTCTTCGGGACCTCCCTGCCCCCACCTAGTCACTCCGCCTTCTCAACCACCAGATTCCTCCTCAAGCCCGCCAACTCCTCATCACCAAGCCCACAGTACTCCCTCATATACCGTTCCGCGCCGCCAAACCGCTCATCCAACATACCCAAACTCGCCAACATGCTCTCCTTCCTCGACCCCACCATACGCAACGCAGCCTGCCTACCCTTCTCCAGGATCTCAGGCGGGAACTCCGACGTATCAGAACCCTCGCTATCCCTTCCTTGGATGATCTGTGCCATCTCCTCCTTCGACAACGCCCGTCCACTCGATTGCGCAAGCATATACTTCCTAAACCCAGGACTTGTCAACAAGCGGGCGACAATCTCGTCTCGAAGGGGCCGGAGCCCCAGTTCGGTGAGTTGGTACTCGTCTGCGATTTGCTCGCGGGGGACGCCGAGGAAGTCGAAGAGGACGCCGAAGAAGATGCCTGTTCGGTCTTTGCCTGCTGTGCAGTGGATGAGTGCACCGAGTTTCTCGCCTGCGGGGCCGTTTCTGGTACTACTACTATCTGCTGGTGGCAGAGACAGACTGGCCAGATACCGGAAGATGGTACTATACGCCTTGCCTCCATCCGTTAGAATACTAGCATAAGCCTCGACAAACCCTTTGACGTCCTCGTCCATGTAGTTCGCGTACCGCTCCGCTAACCTCTCGGGACTGTAATCTTCATCCGAGAACACGGGTGTCCAGGTCCGTCTCACACCTGCTTCTTCCATGGCTTGGATCCAGCCCGGCCTAAAGTCTTGCTTGCCGCTGCCATCGTCGCCGACGATGCCGGCCCAGCCTTTTTCTACTTCGGGCTTGCTGCGGAGGTCGAAGACGTGGCCTACGCCAATATCGCGAACGGCGGTCCAGCCGGCGGCGTCTAATTTGGCCACTTCGGCGCTGCGAAAGAGGATGCCTGGGCGGAGGGTGGCGCCGGATGTGGTGGTGAGGGAGTGGGTGGCTAGGCGAAGGTTGTTGATGTTGGGGATGTGCGTGTAGAAGGGTGGGGAGGGAAGGGTGGGGTTTTCCGCGGATGTCATGGTGATGTGGATGCGATTGTGAATGTGTAGTCGACTTTTTGTAATTGACTCGTTGATGGTATAATCCTGTTCCCTAAGTTGGCCTTTGTGGGAGTGGTATAGATGTAGACGGATTACTCGGTGTGAATAGCTGGTGGTGTGAACGGTTTCAGTTCAAGGATATGAAGTGCCACATGTCAACGGCACAGCTACTAATGCAAGGGGGAGCCTTCACAACACGTGTTCGGTTGGACTTTTGGTTGGTAGTCTTTTGTTTGGGAACAACGTGTGTGATGTGTAAACATCAGCCCCACCATCTTACCCACACTAGCTATGTGCCGAGGTCTAGAGTGTGAAGAGTGAACATGGTACCCCCGCGGCGTAGTCGAGCATAATTCGTAATCTACGCCCATAGCGATTTCTTTGAACGTACTGTCAACATATCCTGTAGGCTCTATCTTGAGAGAAGCCAAGAGGTGCACCAGAAGCGAACGATCCATGGATGTGTTGTTCCCTTGTCATTTGCTCGCGCGTTTGTTCGGTAGACAGATAAGTCTGCAGGCTTATTATAACCATCATCCGGTCTGCCCTTTCCAGTTCATTATGGTCTGAAACTGATGCCAAAAATGACTCTTCTCTGGTTTCTCTCTAATCGTGCGCATTGGGTCATCGCGTAACTGCGGTAGAAATTGCTGTGTAACGTACGTGTGCTGTTCACTTCGCTCTTCACCCCACTCGGTGCGCAATTCGACTATTCTCTCTTTGTGTCTCTGCTTCATACGCTCTAGCCGCGCATCATGTTCTGCAAACGCTCTCTGAAGCTTCTCGCATGTAGGCGGAGGTACTTCCCTCAAGTCATGTAGTTCGTCGTCGATTGATACATAGTGCAAGGTTCATTGGCCTGGTTGCTCGAATTGAAGACCACAGTTAGTAACAGGGCATACACATGGCGATTTCAGAGTATGCAGATAGTATGCTTCTCTCGCCTGAATCAACAGCAGCTTCCGGGCGTCAACCATATATTCGTAGGGCTGGCATATCCGACCTCAGTCGACAAAAGCAGTCCAGACTCGTCTATGGCAGGAGATATGCGTGCTGCTGTACTGCAGGGATCTTGAGGTAGAGAAGTCAGATTCGTTTGGGGCCATGCTGAAGGATCGATGCTTAACTATTCCCATTAATAGGGACGCACGGTATTGTGAAAGTCGTCATTTTCTGCAAGTTTTACTGTTCCCGAAAGCGACAGGAACGTTCCACTGGAAGGGACCTTTTCATCGACGTACAATGCGAACCGGTGAGGCTAGAAAGATGTCTACATTTGTCACGCACTCGGGAGAGACGCACTTCTCTCTTCAATTGCTGGCATGTCGCAAGTGTTGGGGGATTGTCACATTGTCGGGGTGAGGGAGTGTTGTGCGTCGCACGAACGAGCTGCTGTTGCAATGATTCTAGATCCGCCTGCATCGAATGCGCAGCCATAAAAGGGCCTGTCGTCATGGTGAGACGTTTTAGACGAGTGCATGGTTTATTGTCGTCGATGAAGGGTGTTCGTATGCGTCGCGTGGCAGAGCTGCCTAGCTCGCTCATGTGATTCACTGCCTAGATCGCTCATTGGACACCTTACCTTTAGTCAGCATATGTCACTCGAACGTATAATGTCTGACAGCTGGGATAGCCGTTGAATATGGATATAGTATGTATCGTTTGTAGTTGTAATCAGCTCGTCGCTGATGGGTCATCGCTCACGAACCATGACGTATTCACCACGCTAGCCAGTACCGCACTTTCCAATTCCCCAGACACGCGCCCGCACCCCGCAAAGACGTCATCCTTCCATGCAACTCTGATGAAACGCGTTCTCATGCATTCCATGGCGCACGTACTGCTTTTTCCATCTCTGAACACGACACTCATACCCCGGAGATGGCTCCGCCGAATCGATGACGCATCATCTCGCGCGCATTGACGATAACCTTGGAACCTGATGTTGGCCTAGCACCAAATGTCTAAATATCGTGGAGGATGGAAACAAAACTACCAATCATTCCTCCACACACAATACACTTAGCATCTACATCTATGTGATTCAATATGCCGCTACTTCGCTTTACAAAGCCGCGAGTCGCCTCTGCTACAAGCACTACTACACAGGGCTCGAAATGTTCCCGTAGCGCTAGGCCGCATCCCCTGCGGAATGGCGCCCAGAGCAGGCAGTATGCCAGCGAGCCCATCATTCCCAAGGTGCAGAATAGCGATTTCACATTGTACGTTTTGATGCCATCACAACTCTCATCCCGATCCTCCTATAACGTGTATCTTTTAGTAAGTTCGCAGGTGTAGCCATGGCCTTCACCGGCGGTCTCTATTTCGCTATAAATTCAGATCTGCGTCCCTCGTCAAAGCAGAACCTTGCGGCCAATCTCCAGCCGCATCCAACCATGCCAGGCAAGATGGCCGGCGAGAACGAGGAAAACATGCGCAGCCACAAGATCACTATGAAAGGCGATCCCAGCGCACCTGGTGCTGGCAGGCCGGACCCGAATGAAGAGTTGGGTCCGAAGGCTATGGGTCACGGGGCTGCACCTTCACATGTAGCCGATCCGGTTCGTACAAGCTGTACCCCTTTTTTTTCACTTCTTGATTGCTAAGTAACACCGCAGGCCGATCCCCGCGGAAAACCCAGGAGCTTCAACTACATGTCTGGAAAGCAAGAGGGTTTGTCTAATGGTGACACTCACCACAGCTCCCAGATTTCCAAGCAGGGCGAGATGAGTAAGAAGGGTGAGGGTGTTGCTGAGACTGCGAAGCTCAAAGGTACGGTGTCGACTAAGCGACCTGGTCCCGAGAATAAGGAACAGCGAGGCAAGGCTCAGATGGATGATGAGTAGCAAGTCTCGTTGGTTATTGCCCTTGCTATCATTTGATGGGGGGAGGAGATGTATCAGAGAGAGTAGCAAACTGTAGTCAGATAAACAGGCACTCCAATACCATACCAGCAAAGACATCCACAAGCCCACTTGACTATCGCGCATTGTCACATCACGTGTCGATTATAAGCCTTGGCTTCGATGTATCGCAACCAAAGTCCGTATTGTCAGAGCAACCATATTATTAGTTTTGAACTCCTACTCATACAAGCCATGCCATGCCACGCCAACGCACACCGGTTTGACCCAACCCCATCCCCAAATAACACCGTAAACCAGCAGATAACCACCCAAGTTGTTTTCAACTTTTTGTAAGGAGAAGTAGCTTTGGACCTCCTACCAGAGGAGGAGCGGGAAGAGCTTTTAACCGTCGTCGCCAGATTGTGGAAAGAAAGAAAAGGAAAAGAAAGATGGTACGCCGTGATCGCCATCGTGAGGTATCGTACAAGACATGAAGGACTCGGAAGATGGTAGGTGCAGCGCCGTGCAAAAGTTCCGGAGGAAAAGGAAGATATGGAAAGAGGACTTCAACCGGACGTGTCGTTCTTCAAAACGGCAGCAGGGGTTGCCTGGAGTGTGTCGGGCGATGGCGCTGTTGTCATCGAGGTGAATATGGGCGTTAATGTGGCTGTTGATGTCGATGCGGGAGTCGCAGTCGCCTCGGTGGCATCGATACGTTCCTCTTGGGTCGTGGATGGTTTCTCGGCCGCCTTCTCATTCGTACCAGCATCGTACTCTCCACCTCCAATCGTCGTCTTCTTCTCGCACCCCGTCTCAACATCAACAAACGTCTCCTCACTCCCACACCTCGGCAACTTCTTGCCGCTATTCTCAGCAACGTATTCGTCATACGTCTTGCCCGCCTTCTTAGCTTCCTTGCGCACATGTCTGACACGCCATAGCCAGACCGCTTGGCTGGCGAAGATGCCGGTCTCGAGGACCATGCAGGCGATGTATAGACTGGCGCCGAGAGCATCGAACCATTGCTGCGCGACGACGGCCATGAGCGAGAAGAAGGCGCCGAGGTAGTCGATGGTGAGGAACCAGAAGTCGATGCCGATGACGCGGCCGTTGCGCTTGGCGAGCTCGAAGTATGGTGGGATTAGGCCGATGACTTGGATTACGGAGGCGGAGATGGCCATGAGCATCATGGGCCATTCGACGCCGCGGCTGTATGGGCCCTGTACGGTGTTCCGTTAGTCGCTTTCGACAAAATGGAGATTTGGGACGGGTCGTTGACTTACGCGTAGTGTAAGAATGAGGATGAGTTCCATGATACCGAAGCTAGCTGCAAGAGCGATGGTCGCAACAGTGGCTGTCCAGACCCGCCATTTGTTGTGGTAGTAGAGTGTTTGACCCCATGCGATCAGGGTAAGACTGGCGAAAGCTTGAGGTTGGAATTTGAGGGCGAAGTTGAAGTTCTAATCACACGTGAGTAAAAGGTGAGACGGACTGTGAGATGGCTGATGGCATACCTGAACAATCGCGTATACACCGAACGGTACGCCGCCTGCATCGTGTGGTTAGCTGAGTCGACCGGGCTCGTTCATGTGGGGTGTCGCACAAATTGACCAGAGTATCAGCATGGTGCCTGGAAGGCCTTCTGTGCTCTTTCGCCGCCAGTTGGTCCATATTCTTCAGCAAAGTCAGCGAACTGTCATGTGCGATGCTGATGCGTGTGACACTTACTGTGGGATGATTTGTATACACCAGCAGCTGCATTCGGACCTTTGTTAGCAAGTGCTTCGTGGGGTCAAGGGCTTGACGTGGGGTTGCATACACTTTACTCAAGTTAGCATAGCCCTTAGCCACCAAACGTTCGGAGGTACTCACCAGTGCCGAGGGTCTAGAGAACGAGATCGCATGTCAGTATCATGACTCAAGTCAAAAACGTGGGTGGAGCAGAGAAACCTACACCAAGGATATTCGCAGCCTAGCGTTTGGAGTCAGTATGTTGGAGCTGTATGCGATATTGATGGTACTACTCACGGGTGGTATCGAAACTTGCGGTCTGTCCATGGCTTTGGAAGAGTGCTCTCAATACGTCTTGGATGATGAGATGTGGTGAAGAGGTGTAAAGCTCAGTGCGTGGGAGGATGGAAGATGGTGAAAAGAGAGGCCCAGGTGAGACAAGATGTACGATTAAGAGGCCAACTAAAAGGAAGTGTAGAGATGTGAGTTTACGTGATCTGGTGGCGTTTCACGTCGCACCAGGTGTAGTATGTACTATCGCTCTGGTACCTGGTTCGAGTAAAGGAGGAAGAAGTAGCTAAACGACTTCACCAATGGTAGGATGAGGAAGCGGGAGGGTTGTACAAAAGAAAGTTTCCAACTAATGACAGAGCAGTCGGTTACGCCAGCACCGGCACCCAGGTGAAGGCGAAAGTGGTACCCGCTCACACCAGGCAACATGTTGTGCGTGATGACGGAACTGTCAGAGGGTCCCATTTTACTAGCTCTACCGCCGCAGTCGCGTGCAAGAATAAGTCGGCTGGTCATACCAGTGCACAATGGCCTTGGATAGAACGATTTAGACTAGGCAGCTAGTGAGATTTCAGCTTTCGGGGAAGTCATGCCCCTGCTCCCGGCGCTGAAGAGCGACTCCGTTCAGACTCGGTAAGAGGTGAGTGGCTGAGCTAGCGTATACAGGGATACTTTTCCTTCCCCAGCCGATCTGCAATCCGATTGGCGATTCTAGACTTTTCGCTGAACGCATCTATCCTCATATGAGGAAATGGGTCCCACTCCATCTCGATGCAGACGTTGAAGGGGGTGGGTGACGAAACCCCCGGTATTGCATGCATACAAGGCTCGGTCGGATGCTGGGTCCCTGCATTGAGCGACGAAGAAAGAACACCTGGTGGCCACTTGGTAAACCCAATCGCTCACAGCCGGGACAGTTCTGTAGACTACGGAATAATGCACATCGAAGAGGGTAAAGTTAATCTGCATCCAATGAATAACCTTGTAGATGTATTTCCGGATGTGGTCGTGCGTAGACTACCGCCGCGCTCCAAGCGGCTCACGCGAACATCAATCCTGACTGGCCTCAAGGACAGTCCGTCAATCTTCTTTTTGGTGAGGTGACTTCGATCCTCCGGTGAGCTCGGCGAGCGCGTGCCCGGCTACTGTGCATTCCTGCACACTGACGGACGTTCCTGAAAACTCTGAAGGTGGGTAGCTGACGTGCGGTTGGCGGCTGTGTTGAGACCTGCATCACCTGGCATTCCCGAACCACGCCGGTGGGACCCCGCCTGCATAAGATGGCGTCAACCGGATTTATGATTCGATCCAGTATACAGTACAACTGGATTCAGCTAGTAGGAGGCTCTGCTTTCCCCATCCGAGCGTGTGTCTAGTCCTCGGTTCCTGGCGCCTCGCAGCAGTCTGCAGTAGCTGATGATGAATAAGTGGTGGCCGACATGTAAGGTCAACTAGCCAGCTACTACACGCTCAACGCTGTTACAGAAGCGGCACAAAAGGAGTGCACATGCTGCTCTGCTGAGTAGCACAGCCGGGAAGGCGTGTCGCGAGGGACGATAGAGTTCGCAGCTTTCGCGGCAGCTGATAGGCAGTGGGTCGTTAGTAGCCAGCTGAACCGGCAAATCGCCGCCTCGGTCCCAAAGAATATTTTGAGTCATTGCGTCGACATCCGAGCACAATAACGACAGCCGCGCACTGCGCGGTTATGATGATAATGGTTGTACATCTCCAGCCGGATCAGGTCAAAAAGTGGAACCGTTGGGAAAAGGTGGGGTTAGGGGCGTGCGCCATGCACGCAAGCCAGAGAACCAAACGCTCTACCGATCGACGAACTTCGGTTCATACGTTTCATACACAAAGCTGTCGGTTATGTATGCCGGTCGAGAACACATTCTTTGCGCTGTATTCCGCGTGTACGAGGAGGAGATAACGCGTCGACTTTGTGTTGGCACTTGGTACGTGTGAAGGTTCCCCGCCGCCGTTGCCGCCACTTGGCTGTGGCGTTTATTCGATCCAGGACCACATGCAGGATATGTTCCTGGGACGGCATTGCATAATAGACCAGGACGTCTGCGTGTCTCACGCATCTGCACGCTTTCACCTCGCCTCAATGATACCATCTTCTGCGAAAACGAACGAAGGAATCCATATCGGGGCGATCTCCGGCATGATGCAGCGACGGTTAGCCATATTCGCATCGGCTGCACCCATCTGTATTGATGACTGGCACCGAGACGTGGACGGATAGTTGCGCTTCGGCTTTGCTCCTGGACCCACACGAGATAGAGTACCGGCCGGGCGAACTCCGTTCAATGAAGCCAATGTCATCGAGCCACGAGTCTGACATCCTGACCATCCTGGGATCTGAACGGTGAAGAGACGCATAGAACATGGCGTGCAGAGTCGGCGACGTTCGGTATGCCGATGTCGCATACGAGGATGTGCAAGCGGACCGACGCTGAAAGGGTCTGATACCGGGTTGTTCATGTCTGGCTGATGGATTTGTCAAAGATCATCAATCGTGAAGGCATCGTGGTCCGATACGCAAGGAAAGCATCAGAGGCCAGACCAGATGAATCTGGCGAGAAGCGGGCCGATATACCCACTGTGTGGGGAGGACGCCAGTCCCTGGAACATTTTGGGATCTGAAGACGTACGTTCGGCCAGGTTTTAGGCCGTTGACGTGATCAGGATCGACATGTTTAAACTGGCAGGAGATGGCTGGACGAGTATGGCCCCGAGACTTGCCTTAATCAATGTCGAAGCTCCGATGCGTGCGTACTTTCGCGTTCGCTTTGCCGCTGTGCCGTGGTGTTTGTCAACCCGCGAAGCACCAGGGATAAAGCCAGTATAACGCTAATGGACGGCAGGCTAACCCCTGATTTATCCCCACCTTCAAATGTAAAAGCCATGAATCTCAGTAGATAGGGTGCCGTTCCGACGAGCACGGGCGACTCTTGATCGTTTAGTGTGCGGCC